CTAACCTTCCCACAACAACTCTGGTTTCACGACCTTGATCTCTCTAGAAAATAGATAACATCGTGCCCCCTTTTCCAAATTGACCACGCCTTACTCATGCCTTTGAACTTTCATTGAATATTTTCCCCTCTGCACATTTTATAACAACACCACGTCTCTGGACGTTCCTTATTTTATCTTCAACAGTCTCAAATTATCACCACGACACAATAACCTATTATACTTTTTTAACAATTAATAAACCCTTAATATATAATCTAATTTCAACAAAAATTATATTTTAGTCCCCATAATATTATATCTAATTATTAAACCTTACAGTCTATATGATAATTGAATTAATTTTTTTATATAGTTTATATTTTAAATATTTCTTTTAATCTTTTAAACAAATATTTTAATTGTTAAAACTGATGAATTGTCAAGCAAAGTACAAATTTGAAAAAAAAAATAACAACGATTTTTGGGTTGTGACTGCCATATAATACGTAATAAAATAACCTACAAATTCTTAATAAATAGGACATATATTTATTTTAATTAGTTTTGCGATCGTGCAATGTTAAGCACAAATCAAGGACTGTTATTTTTCAGTTCTAGTTCTAGTTTCGGTAACCGATAATTATTTCATTGAATGTTTCTGGATCCAATTCGGGTTTTAAATAGATTTAAATAGAATATTTTACTTTATTAAAACCTGCTGATATAATATTTCGATACATCAGAAAAAATGTTCAGTGAGTATTTTGTCGAGGTATGGTGTTTTACATTATAAAAAAATTATAGGTACCAGCTATAATAATACAGTATACAATACCTATATAATATTATTACGTAATAAATTATAATACCTAACAACTAGTTATATTAATCTGTAAGACAAGTGTTTTTAAAAACGTAATCGTGCAAATTTGTTCTTTGATTGGCGAGTCGAAAATTGTTATCATTGAGTATAATAATAATAATAATAATAATAATAATTAATAATAATAATAGTAATATAGTGTGTTACCTATAATGTAATATTAATAATATATTATATTATATTGTCGATATGAGAAACATCGCAGAGGATTAAAGGACCTGCAGTCGGGTACATTATACGCCTTCACACCGGATGTCACCGGACCTACCGCGGTTTTAATAACAGCTCAACGTAATGGTGGCACATGACGTCAAGCATGTGCAATGTGCATAATATAATATACACGCGAGAGAGTGCGAGACGTGAGTAATGTGTACCTCTATGTGTAACCAAAAAAAAAAAAAACTTTATGTTCGTGTGCAGGGGGGGTAGTGAATAAAATAAGCCGTCGGCAACGAATCCGTATCTATACAAGTTGAGCAAAAGCCACGCCTAGACGGATTACGCGCGAGTGCATATGTGCAGACGGGCAGTTCATAAACATACATCGTGTGTGTGTGAACATCGAGAGGTATAGAGAGGAAACCGCAGAAGCTGAAAAATACATTCACATTTACGCTTTTCCAACTTTTATTACGTACCGGAAATATGCGGCGCCTTGTGTGCCGGATAAAAAAAAAAAAAAAAAGAGAAAAAACCCCGAATGAATAATGTGTAACTGTAAAGACTTAAAAGAAGGACCGAATGGATCCCAATGGATATATTACGCATTCAATTTCAACGTATAAGGATATATTATGTGTTTAGAAAAAAAGTACATGTACCTACCAGCTATATATATAGAGAGATAAGAATTGGAGTTCTTGATTCAAACTAAATATTTACAAAAGAATATACTATATCTACTTGAAGTTTGAATGATGTTGCAAATGTAATAATACCCTGATAAATGGTCGGTTTCCAGTGATAAATTCTAATAAAAGTATATATTATTATTATTAGAGCTCTGATGAAAGTTGTTTGTATGAGACGTGACACGTTCGTTATTCCAACTGTACACGTCTGCTCGGTAAATTTAAAATTTTTATTCTCAACTTGCTACGCATTTTTTTTTCTCGCTGTATTAAGAATTCAGTGAAAATCTTTAACAATAAATTCAAACGGAATTTAGGATTAGTGTGTTACATCAAGACTGAAGAGTTTTACATAAAAAAATATTGTGTTCCTTGTTTTTTTACATACCATTATTATTATTATTTTTTTACTCCATAGTTGATAAGTATAATATTTAATGTAAATCTCATCCATTAGAGGTATGCCTACAATGGTTTTTTAACATTATCGTAAGCAAAAAAAATATTATCTAAAATTTTAAAGTAGCTGAGCATTCATTTAATCATATGTTTAGTTCGACATATTAGTATAAAAACTGGTTGAAACCAGTACAATTTATAATTTTATAAGTTCATATTTATCCGTGTTTATTATATTATACCATTTATAACAAGATATATATCACTCTACTCGATCATGTTACGCGTGTTTAGTGATTTGATTTCCATAACACGTAATAATGTAATAATATATTGTGTGCTTTCGAGATGAAGTCGTGCTCGAATTCTGCAGTGGATGCATGCGTGTTAAAAGGATGATGAACAAAAACCACATGCATGTTAAATTTGCTGATATATTATAAAAAAAAAAAAAACGCTCGTTTACACCTCGAGAAAAACCATCTGGTGTGGACACTTATATTAAACTATTCATTCACCGTGTAAAAAACGCTCAGTCAACACGGGGCTTAAAAAAAGATGAAACGACCCATTTTATGAGAGTTAGCCCTTTGAAATTATTACACGTCATCCATCATTCTTTTGGCCTCCGACGAAAAAGAGTGGGGAAAAAACCAAAAATTATAGACTTAGCCTGCTTACACGCAGTGTAATACATACGCAATGCGAGTGTGTGTGTGTGTGTGTGTGTGTGTGTGTGTGTGAGAGAGAGAAACCAGAACAAACTCTCAGTGATGGTGTGGGATCATAGTGCAGCTGAATATTGTAATTCATGTGTATAGTGTTTTGAATAAAGGGCTGAGAAAAAAAAATATTGGGAGTAGGCGCCCCCCCCCCCGCCACTCCGTATCGGCTCGTTTGCCACGCTGTTATTGTACTCATCGTCTCCTCTTGATCATAACACGCTTAATATTCCGTGTGTCTGATATTGGATTATATACACCCTCGTTTGTGTCAGCCGTCTGATGACGACGTCGACGGGATAATATCACGAAAAGACGAACGACGACACTGTACGATCGTGTGTATAATAATATATAATATTATGTATGCGTATGACGTGCACGTGAAAAGGCGCTCGCGCTGTCGAACAAGATATTTTTGGGTTAACATATTATTATTATTATTATTATTATGCAGGCACGGTGCTGGTTGTATTTCGTTATATTTTTTTATTTTTTCTCGATATAAGCATTATGAGCAGATCAAAACCGATGAGCGAATTGATATGATATTATACGCGCACATACGCGCGCAAACTGCTATCGCGTTTATGCAAACAAGTGTAAAGAGGTTTTTCACTGCTCGCGAGGACGGAGAGAGGAAAACTATGTCAACACATGGCGAAAAATAAAACACACACACACAGTATGCGTGCGAGTGTGTTTGTGTGTGTAGGAGGGTGAGGTGGGTGGACGTGTCTTTGTGTGTGTGTGTGTGTGTGTGTGTGTGTGTGTGTGTGTGTGTGTGTGTGTGTGTGTGTGTGTGTGTGTGTGTGTGTGTGTGTGTGTGTGTGTGTGTGGGTGTAGGTGGGTGGTCGTGTTTTTGTCTGTGTGTGTGTGTGTATTGTTGTGACGAGTCCAAAATTGGATTCCGCCGATGACACTTTTTCCATTAGAGTCCCCCGGACAAACAGCGCGAGACAAATCGATTTTCTTCGCTGTCGTCGCCGCAGCAGCAGTTGTCAACCAGGCGACGATGACGGTGGATATACGGTGTACATAGTAAGTCGGTGTCGGATGCAGGCGACGTGTTTTATTCCTACTTGCATAATATTATTACTGTGACGCTCTGCCCAAATGTTTGAGTCGTGTCTGCAGGGTGAAAACGAAAGCAGAAAGAAAAAAAAACATATAGTATTGTACGGTGGCGGTGGGCATGTGTTATGTAGGTATATATTGTGGCGTGGTGGCGCGTAAGTGTCGTTGCGAATTCCTAATAAAAAAAAGTTCACTCGAAACTCGCGGAGTTCTCCTATAAGAAATTGTCGCATCAGCTATTCAACAATAAAAATAAAGGTATATAGGAACAAAAAAAAACTATCAAATTATAATATATATATGTGCCTACTATTTATATTTTATAATAATATATGACGGTGGTTCACCGGTATACATTGCTCTCAATAAGTACAACATATGAACAGTATAGTAATATTATCATGGATATTTTATGTTTCAAAATAATATAATATTGTTTTTATTAAGTTCTACGTTATAGCAATATAGAATCAGAAATTAAACACTTTTATTCTCGCTAGAGCACGGGAGAGAGGTTTTAGTAATAAAGAAAACCTGTATGCATTTTCAGTTGAAAATGCAGTCTAATCAAATTTATAAATGCAGTGGTTGAAGAAAATTAGGACACAAAGTTCACTCTCGGGAGCCTTTTCTTTCTGTTCTTAGTTGGTTTAAATGCAGTAGACGACCTGACATAATACCTACTCAGAACAATGAAGCTATCCCGTCCCCATAGGCGTATGAAATAATTTCATTATAATATTGATATACTTTAAATGAGTCAATAATTCATATAATTAGAACTCAGACCTTTGCAAATCAACTGCTGCATTTTGTTTGAAATTATCTCCTCACATGACGTAATAACTTACGTAATAGTAACTAGTGTAATAATATTATATGCCTTAACCGTGTTTAATTGCATTTAAGATTTATTCACAAAGTATCATGAAGTATTTCAACTAAAACTAATGTAAACAGAAATTATAGAATATTAATATTAAGTATAATATTATGCTTAAATTATTGTAGTTTCTGTTTAAGTTTATAGATATATTATATTATAGTCGTATCCTTTAAACCTTGGTAATTTTTACGTTTTAGGTTATGGCCGTCTTATGCGAGTGCACACAACAATTTAGGCACGCTGATGGAAAGGTCCAGGGATGCCGAACACCATTTTTTGGCCGCAATCCGATACTCGCCAGGGCACGTTAACGCTCATTACAACTTGGGTCAAGTGTACAGGTAAAATAATAAATTATTATAATATTAGCTCTACAACATATTTTTTTTTTTGTGGGAGGGGTGTTAAGCTGGGCAAAAATGATTCATGTAGGTCCTCATCGATGAATTGCGCATTCAACATCGATTGTTATTTGAAATGTATAGTTTTCAGAATTTTTTAGTAGGTTTTCAATACAATTTTTAAAATAAAAAAATAAGATTAATTCCATACCCTAAAAAGGGTGGGATATTTTATTTCTCAGCAACATCTATTATTATTAATAATATTATCTTAGCATATTTTTCTGACTGTGTTAAACACTCGTGATAATAAATATTGTCATTATACCTACTTAATTAATGGACTTCAGGTTGATGAACCGGACCAAAGACGCAGTGGCCATGCTGGAACGATGTCTCATGTTGAACAATGGTTACACAGCTGCATACTTGCTGTTGGCAAAATTGCACACGGGAAGTCAAACCGGACGACTGTTGAAGCACGTTGCTGCCTATCAGCCCAAACACCCAGAACATCAAGCTCGTTATGCTCGTTGGCTTCGCGATAACCGTGAGTACATCTTTATAAGTATATTATAATTATATTATAAGAATATATCATTATAAGTATAGTATCGTGTATGTATTACCCGACATTAAGCGAGACGTGTTGAAAGGTCTTTTTGACCTCAACACTAATATACATCACATTATAAATATACCATTATTATAGACAATCTACTGTAGAAATCGAACGTTTATCAATGCTTACTGCTAAGTGCTAACTGATTAAAATCTTTATATTATTATTATGTGCGCAAAACTGTATGTGATCCGTATAATATATCGTTTTTAAATAATTTTGAAAAATTCTAACAACAAAATATTGGAAACCTACATATTATTATTATTATATCGGCATATTATTCATAAGAAAAACCCATACACTTAAAGACAGCTTCCGACTCCTTCGACCACTTCTAACATCTAAGCATATGCAACTCTCCAATAAGCTCCTGCTTTACAAACTCCTACTCAGACCCATTTGGACTTATGGGATTCAACTATGGAGCGCTGCCACAATTTCCAACATCAACCGAATTCAAAGACTCCAATCCAAAACTCTACGTAGAATTCTAAAAGCTCCATTCTATGTCTCTAACCACGCCCTTCACTCTGATCTCAAAATACCATTTGTCTCTGAATTAGCCAAAACTCACTATACACGTTTCAATAGCAGTCTAGCGCACCATAAGAATCCCTTAATCTCCAATCTATCATCTGCTTCTATCCCAGGTGACCCAATTAAAAGACTTAAAAGACAGTGGTGTTGTGACCTTCTAGCCTAACTAAAAGTCCTACTCATGTGATAGTACCACTGGGAGGCCTCTACAGTCTGTCTAATCTGAATTTTTATTTTTATTTATGGTATAAACCATCAATTATTGTTCTTTATTATGTAAGAGACTGAATATGAACCAAAAAAAAAATAAAAATAAAAATACTATCCATAAATATAAATTATGTATAATATATTAGTACGATGTTAATTATGCTTAAAAAATTATTCATTAACACAAAAAATAAAACGAATAATAACCTAACTAAATAAATAACAATAAATAACAATAAATATTGTACGCGTTGGCTGCTATCAGTCACGCAATATTACTGAGAGTAAGTAACGTCCTCTGCTACTAGTTCCCGGATGGGTGACCACCCGGGTTCGAAGTAGAAAAAACCTACACATACACGTGTTCCTTACCTACCGTGACAACCGTAACAACCTGATCTTACCAACCCTACGAACCATAATCCAAACAATATCTAATGGCCAAAGTTGAAGGGCTCAAGTTAAAAAAAAAAAATAATAATAAATATTAATATTAGCTAGATAATGAATAAACATTGTAATTGTATTATTTTTGAATTAGAATTAAGAAACTAATTTTCATAAATAAAATCACCATCAAAATTTAAATAATATTTAACATATAAACATCAATAGTTCAATACTTTAATATAATAACAACTTTGCACGGTTTTATCTCTAACTATAGTTAAATCTGACAGTAAAGTCAAACACAAGGTTAATCTCAACCAAACAAATTATTAATATCAATATGTAATGAGTTTATCGCTTTAAATTAGTTCGATGAACTAGATTATGGCTTGTGAAACTAAGTTCACAAATAGGTATACTTTAATTTTTTTTTTTTACTCATCAAGATAGTAACTTAAATTTCAGATTTAGGTAAAACGTTGACATAAATCGTTATAATTTCAAATCGTATTAATACAATTTGTTAACAATTATAATAAATAATAATCATTTATGAAAATTATATCATAATATTATATTTCTTTCAAACAATTTTCCAACTGCTATAAGTATGTAAATATGTAGTGATTAGAACAGAATCAAATTAAAATATGTTAAATAAATGTTCATGTATTTATCCCAACTAACATAACTTATAAGGATATCAAAAAGTATTTTTAAATTCAATAATAAGCAAAAATGTATTTTCATTTTGTGTTATAACTCATGAAATGTTTGATAAAAAATAAAAGTGCATATTTATAAATTGTAAGATGTCATAAAATACTATCGCTGATAATTATTAATTTTGGTTATATATTATCTTAATATTATGTACTGCTATGTAGATCTACGTGATCGGCGATGACACGAATAATTTTTATTATAATTTATACACAATATGCACACCATATAATATTATAATATGCGTTATTGTAATAAGATGTGTTCTTAAATTAAATCATATTTATAATATTCTAAGAACCGCAAACGGACTTGATTTTTTTATAATATTATCCTCAGGGACGCAAATAAATAACTTTTTAAACTTAACCTATATTATTGTTTATTTAACTCAAATTATTTAAATCTATCTCAGAGTAAATAATATTATCATGAACAATGGACGTCGTTCGTGTTTAACTGAAAAAAAAACTTCAAAAACACATAATTGGCTTCTTCAATATAAACTATTCTTGGTAAAAAAATCCTATTGTAAAGAATGATACGTTTTACCTTTTCCCGTTTTGTCGTAATCCGACAATGGAATTATCTTATTGCGAAAATACCTTATTTTCATAGAAAAGCATCTTATGCAATCGAATATAAAGTAAGGCCAATATTGTAATGAAACCTTATTATTATGTAAGAAACATGTCATCTCATTTTAGAAAATAAAATCATAATAAATATAAAAGATGTAGGGGAAAATGCACTTCGAGTAAATTAATAAAATAATACCACTAGCTATTACTCACATAGTGGTTACTAATAATAATAAACTATAATTTGCATCGCATAAGTAGCACTTCAATTTGCCAAACGCACCTACGCATGATATAATCACTCCATAATGTTTCATTTGATATTATTTTAAAATATTCGTAGAATGGCATTTAATATTAATTAACTTAGTTTAATTGATTAAAATGTCATGTGCATATTATTTACTAACTAATTGAATGTAATATCAGAGGCAATATAACGTTCAAATTTTAGTAGATACTTACTGTATATCTGATTCAATAATATGTTTTTCTAGGTCGTGTGGCCGAGGCTTTAATTTATTATAAAAGAGCCATGGCGGTGAATATGGAACACAGGGAGTCTGTTTTGGGTTTAGCCCGTGTACTCAGAGACCGAGGACAAAAATCCAGAGTTTACAGACTCATAACTTGGTAAGATACATATTTTTTTAAATTAAAATGAAACAGAAATTATTTTAGTTGCAATATTCGTTAATGATTGTAAACATTTCATAACTTTGATGCATGGAGATAGCTGTGTTTCGAAGAAATAGCTTTAATACTTATTAAATCTATATCAATATCTATGATGATATTATAAAATTAATGAATTATTGATATTTTCTTTTACTATAAAACGTCATTATATTTATACTAAAATAATAATATTCTTAAAAATAAAACCGTTTTAATTAATAACTTCAACGATCGATCGTAAAAATGAAAATATTAGTTTGAAATTATTTTATGCAATTTTCATTTCTTACATTTATTTTATTCAGTTAATGTAGGCTGAATTTAGAATCAAAAGATACGTATTACGTTTCTTGTTAAAGAAACATTTTGGTTATAAATAAATAAAATATTAATTTAACTTTTTTATTTAGTATACGCAAAATAAACTTTTATCAATCATATCTAAAAATAAAAAACACAAAGAATCATATTAACAGTGCAAAATGCTAATTAAAATTAAATTAACATTTTCATAAAAACATGATGTTTCTTTACCAACAATTTTATATCAAGTTAAAAATTAGTAAATAACAATATCTATTAATGTTTATGTTTTGTTTTGTTAATAACAAAATATATTATTATGTTATTATTTCATATTATTAAATGTTTACTATAAAAAATAACATTTTATTGGATGTGTAGTATTACATCTATTATATCCTTAATTATTTACGATTGTTTATGCGATATAACAATAAAATGAAAAAAATAAAAATAATAAAATAATACAAAATATGTTTTATTATTGAACGTACATTTCCAATTGAAATTTTACATAACATAACAAAACAATATTTATACTTGTGAATAATATTAAATTATACTTAATAAAAATGTTTTTGTTATCAAACTATGGACGAACTTATTTTTTTTTTTTTTAGGATTAAAGGTTAAATTTTTAGGAAATCATAAATAATATCCATATCATAAAATAGTTATTTTGTAATAACATGAAGTACGTATACAATATGTATTTTGTGATTGTGTACTTATGACAATGACTGAATTTAAGTATTTTTATCTAACAATCTTTTTCTTTAATTCCGGATGTTTTACCGTTAACAAGGCAATTATATAATCTTATAAAATATTAGCTCTTGATGATTAGTTTGTTTCCAATTATCGTATTGTGTATTTGCGAACCTATTTATTTTTACTATAAATTATAATTGTTAAGAATTTAACTTCAATCAATGTTATTTGTCAAATAAAATAATACTAAAACATATTTTATAGTTGCTGCCCCTAATAAATATGAAAAAGGTGAAAATATCTTAATAAAGTGGTAACTGTTAGTTTACGTTTAGTAAAAAATATTAGATGGACACGGCATCTTACTATAGTATGATTTTTTTCAATGTACCTATGCATAATTAATTTAATTTGTCACCAATTAACTCAATACATTTAATGGCTTTCTAATTCTATATATTATATAACTATTTTAAAACAAGTAAATGCACATAATATTATTGTTAGATCACAGCATCGTTAGGAATATAAATCCTTATTTTATTAATATTGTTTAAGTCTAATGATATAATGTATTAAAATAATAAAGTATGAACGACGTTTTTATAGCATATACCTATTTATACATTTTTAAGGTTCAAGTTGAAACATATGATCATTGTTTATTTTTATTCGTTTGAAATGATTATCGATTACACAAAACATTTTTCTATTCAGGTTAAATTTATTTTTCATTCATCGTTGAATACTGTTAGCTTATAGTACGTAATTTTTTTAAGATTTTTTTATACCGGAGAATAATTATTATTCTCATGCAAAAGTTAAAACGGGTTACGTGCAAAAGCTACAGCTTACAGAATTAGCTTACAGCCCGTGCAAAGCTTCATTAATAGTGTGACATAAACCTTTGGTCTATGTTTTATACGAAAAATACAATACGTATCATTATAGTACGACCTACAGACCTTCTTTTTGTTTTTTTCTTTTAGTAAACCCGTCCCAGCATAATATTATTATTGTTATTGTATAGTCGTGGGTCACTCGCGTGCGGTAGTCTTTTAAGATCCCTAACAGTTTATTTTTTTGTTTGCTTTATATAACATATAATATAATTTTAAACTACAATGTGTTTAAATTCTTTTTTTTTCCCCCACCCGTCCTCGAGCTGCAGCAGTGTCGTATAATATTATATCGCATTATACTGCAGTCTTGTAAAAGATACTTTTAAAAAGTATTCAAGTACAGATACAGATACTTTTTTTCAAAAGTATTTAAAATACGTATTTGAATACTAGAAAAAAAAAGTATTTAAGTACAAATACAAATACTTTTAAAAAGTATTTACAGATACTTTTAAATACTTTCAAATACTTTTTTTTTTTTTAAATATTTTTCACTTTTTTACCTTAGCCTAATGACCTTATAGATAAATTGAATTATCAGTCAACTAAATAAATTTAGTATGTATAATGTATAGATATAATATATTATTATCAATCAACTATCGTTATGTTTTATTTATATATAATTCGAGTAAAGGTATTTCCAATTTTATTAGGAAATCGACAGACTGTATACATTCAGTTAAATGGATACACATTACCTAGTATAGGCCACTAAAAATATTACAATATACCCACCAAAACACACCATGAACGATCTATAATTAAAAATCTTATACAATTTCAAATTTTTATTATTTTATTTAAATTTGGTAATAAAGTAAAAGTATTTAAAAATAGTATTTGATTTTAAATACAGATACTTTCAAAAAAGTATTCAAATACTATACCCAAGTACTTTTTTCAAATGTATTTAGAATACGTATTTGAGTACTTAAAAAGTATTTGAATACTTTACTCAAATACTTTTACTCAAGTACTTTACAAGACTGCATTATAGTCGTGTTTAGCGCACAGGTTTAGGTATACAACTCGTCGCGGTGGGTTGCGACCCGCATGTATTGTACCAGCTCTGTTTGAACGGGGTGCAACGACGGTGGTGGAGGGGGGGTGGGTTTTTCGTCTAATTGAACGTCACCCGCTCGCGGGCGGACTACACTATGCACACGCAAAAGCCCTAATAATTATCAGCGGTGACCTTTGTTGTGGCGCAGGTGGCAGTCGACGAGACGCAGACACTTGGTGCCCGGCGGCGGTCGGATCGTGTTCGCCGGCGATCTCTACGTCAAGGGATGGCAGCTGTACAAACAGGGCCAGACCACAGCGCCTCTACCCTCGGCCGGAGAGCCGCCTCCGAGACGACGCAACGCCGACGGCAAAATGTCAATGTGCAACGTACGTTTATCATATCAATTTATAATCGACTGCTACAATACAGTAATATAATAAAACACATGGCGGCACGATATTAATAATATTATAATGGTGTACGCGTGTTGTGGCGCCATCGGTTGATATTATAATCGGGTTAGTGGTGGGATATCCTCGCGCCGATCGTTTGATTCTTCGTTTAACACCCCCCCCCCCCGCAAAAAAAGCTCCATCCCTTTTCCGCGTGAAAATTAAAACGCACTGTTGCAACGTATTGCTCGTGTACCGTTAGGGAAATCGACTGTGCGAAATCCAATAGGTAATATTATTATTATTATTATTATTATTATTGATTGATTTAACAGAAAATTATCTGGTGGAACCGTAAGGAATAATAAATTAACAGCATAATATGGTGTTTTGGCTCACAAATGTAAAAATTTTCATGACCTACTTAAGTGCTAAAGATATTTTATAATAGGTATCTGATTTTTTTTTTAATATTGTATTAGATGAAAAGGTATTGTATACCGTGCGAGCTTTGTTTAAACTTTGAAGTTAATTAAAAAAAAAGTTAAATACCAATTTATTTGGATTTTGTCAAACAATTATGAATTAATACACCGACTATTGCACTTATATGGCAGCTGTTATAATATTATACAATGTGATTATTTTAAAAGTAAACTTTTATTTTCTCAAAGAGTACCTATTAACGTTTTGGGAAATGTATTGTTTTTAATAACTTAGTCATTAAAAACAAATATTTTTTTATCGTTATTATTTTTTAAGTTTTTACTTTTTTGAATGACAGTATACATTTTTAATTCAATATTCTGAAGCAGAATATTTTTTCTGATAATTTAAATATATAATTTGTTTTCAAAAAAGTTGTATTGTAAAAATGACTTAAATTACGAAAAAATATTATTTTCAAACATTTAAAAGACAATTAGTTTTTGCTGTTAAACAACATATTATATTATTTAAGATATGACATTGTATAATATTTATAAAATTGTAAAATACTCGAGCTTTTTTTAAAATTAATTTTACTAATGCGTTGCCCATTTTCCCGGCTTCTACGACACAGAATCGATTAAACTTAAAATTGTAGTGACTTAACCGATAGGTTCAAGCTTTTCAATAGAAATGTTTAGATTGGAATTATATGACAATAGAAGAGACAAGAATAAATTATTTAATATAATCTTAGGTTAGGGTTGATGCCTGATTGTATTGAATTTAATATCTGTAACCTGTATCAGATTTGGTCCTGGAAAACCATACAATTGATACATACCGGATTACCGTAATACTGGTACATTTTAATAAAAATATATAGCATCAATGATATTATATACACCGGAATACTTATCATACCGGTACACCGGCATTGGTAATACAGTGTACAGTATACATTATTCGATATTATACAGTACCTACATCGGTAAAATGGTTTAGGTACCACGCTGTTTAAGTGGTATTCGAAAAATCATCCGATATTAAATGGTTTACCCCGTTAACTCAATTATATAGGTTAATAATACTATAGGTGTTTACTGTTATGTTTTTCCAAAAAAAATATATGTTTTAGAAAGTTCAATATTATATTATCTATAATAGTTGTATAAACTATAAAGTATGTATGAAACGGAGTCAGTTGGTAACTATTTCATGTAAATGATTGCAAACTCAAACATACAGACAATTTTAACAGAACTAATGATGCAAAAGGATGACGTGTTAAAATTACATAAACGCTGTGCCATAATTATTTCGATTATTCAAAAGTAAAGAAGTTTTATCTAATTATTTTACCGATTATGGCAGCGACGTCGTGTTGCATTCGTTTTGTCCTTGTCGTTGTTTTTTTTTTTTTTCGGAAAAACTACATCGATTAACAATTATTTTTATAATTTATGGTTTTGGCTTAAAAAAATAAGCCCCTATAGAACATCGTATTATTACTATATAATATAGTACTGCCCGTCGTCGTTGTAAATACTATAATGTGATAAAATAAAAAAAGGAACATCAGCGAGAATTCGAAAGTACGCCGACCCCTACGTGTATATATACTCCACATAATATACTATACCAGCAGCCAAGGATTGGATTTAACGAGCTAGAATTTTTAAAACTGAGTTAATTTAAACTTTTTTTTTTTAATTTTAACGAGCTATTTTTTAATTATTTGCTTCTAAAAAATAAACGAGTTTTGTTTAAAAAGTTTATTTAATATTTAATCAAGTTAATTCATTTTTTGTTGCTTTAACTTTTGTCCTCCCGGCCGTGCTGATAAAAAGTAGGTATATCTGAAATTATGCAATTAAACTGTTTCCTTTGTCGACATATGGTCCAAAGCTAAGTGAATATTTTAATCTGTTTAGGGTTCGTCATGTACTTCGACGATATAATTGTTTTTTTTTTTTTATGTTTTTTTTTTTTTTTTTATTAGCTATTAGTATAAAACTATTGTAGCTCAACAATTATAGTAGATATAATTGTTAATTGGGTTGATATTGTGTTAAAGTGTCCTCGCTTAAGATAGGTAGTGTCCTTTCACGTATAGTACAACATAATAATGATAACTATGATTCTTATAGTTTATTATACGTTTATTTGATCGTAATAATATAATATAAGTTAACGGTTTTTATTGGCAACGAAAAATCTGACATCGTTTTAGTGTCGTCTTTGGTTGCTGCTCGTGTAATTATAATAAATTTATTGCAACATTAATTTATCGCAATAAATTATATTCGTTAAACGACCGAAAGACTATTAGCGAAACGATCGGTAATCGTTATCATCACAATATGTTTTTTTCAAATTCAAATTGGAACGGTTCGTGCTTAGTGTCGTTTTCACGTCATCATGTCTTAGTAATGGCTTCTCGAGACACAGATAGTACATGTCTGCACGGTATAATAATAATATACGTAATTGACTAGTTTTAATAGTTTGTTGGGCAAAATATATAAACAAATAAAATATCAAATGTTTAATCATGAATAGAAATATTAACTAAAAATTAACTTTGCCTTTTTTAAGTATTATTATTTATTTATATCCAGTCGTCGTTTACTTTAGGACTTCAGGTACTTATAAATAGTTATAAACATTATATTGGTAATATAGTCCATCGGGTTCGGTAACTTACTCCTCTCTAGTTAGCGGAATTTGGGTATAATTATAATTGTGGTTCTTGTTTCAAAACAGGTATCTAAAATTTAAAATAAAAACTGCCTTGCTAGAAAACAAACGATAATTATGATAATATCTTTATAACAACATAGGAAACATAATTTTTCCTACCTACGTATTTTTTAATTCATATTGGATCAGATTTTTGCAATAACAGTATCTAGGGTGGTTGCCGTTTTTGAAACAGATCCTGGAAAACAAAAAAAAAATATATTTTTCTTATATACCTAGTCAAAATATTTACCAGCTTTACTGAACAAACATTTCTTTTTTAAGGGTTTTTCGGTAAACGTTGGGTAGGGAGGGAGGAGTTAAGACTACCCAGATTCCTTGATCCGGTGTAGTATTCTGCCGCATGTAGTAGTAGACAGTCTGCGTCCGACCACCTCAAAATTATTTATATTGATAAAAGTTGTGCTTTCTAACGCCGTTCGCCGTATAATAGGATACCTATAAGGATATATTATAATATTTTCTAGCGTTTGGCTCTAAATATAGGTTTCGTTTACCGCGACTACTGTTGGATTAATAATTATAGAGTTTTATCGAGTTATCGTCGTTATATTTTATTATATATTTGTAGCCTTGTAGGTACCTACTTGCAGAAAAAAAACATAATAACATCGTAGAAATTTATTTTTTTTTTTTTTGACCGGCGTGGGATATGGACGATATTGTTATGTATGTAGGTACCTACCGCTATATATATTATTATACATTTAGGCACGGCTGCAGATTCCACTGTAACGAACCGTGACGTTTGTATCCGTGTTTCTGAAAACATTATGCGACAAGTCCTTTAACGCCATATAGCGAACGGGAGCTTTAGTGCGTGCGTGCATGAGAGAGTTTGTATGCGTGTGTGTTGGTGTGTATGTGTGAGGGTGTGTGCGTGAGAGTGTGCACCGTAATGAATAGAGTAAAATAATAATTTATATACGAGTCACGTGAAGTAAAAAAACGTGATATTACATGTACCTACAACCGCAACTAACCGGAATTACTTGGAAAACGATGCTCAGAAAAACAACAAGCCATACGCAGCATACGGCTAGAGTAAAAATGGCACGTGTATAAAAAATTTGCTTTTATAATACGCCGAACATAACTATACCTAAATATATATTATATTATAATAGTGAGGTACGGCCATTGCAACCAACTTATCGTAAGAACAGCCGAGTAGATTTAGTTGAAAATATGGACAGTCAATACTAATTATATAGGTAGTTGCGGTGAATGATTTATACAGCCAGACGTAGGCACATAACCCTATCAGACCTATGGGACGTTTAAAATGCAATTAATAGCCAGTGTTATTTTTATCGGTAATATAACATTATAGTTGTATGTCGTCATACGCTGCCACCCGCTGGATTTCTGGATTGGAACTGATAACAGATACCTATTGGAAAAACGTATTACCTACAGATCTGTATTTTTGCCACACGAACTATTCGTGATAATAATATGCCTATAACATAATAATGGTATACAAACGACGACCGATAATTTATACGTCTGTGTCTGCGCATAATAATAATATCACGAAGCGATGGCCCAGTGAATATTCGTCGTGTCATACCTCAATACTCCATTATTAATATTATTATAAACATCATCAAAAAATTCAATTATTTTTTTTAATGGAATTCCTAGGGGAGGTATAGATAGGTAGTATTATATAGCTTCTTAACTTGCATTAATTTTCTGTTTTTGATTTGTAACCGATACGTGATTATTTTACTTCAATATCCCCTGCTACGTTCTTCGTAATCTGTAGACCCCCCGACCGATCGGAAGCACTGCACATT